AATATACATTTTTCAATGTTATTATTGAATAGTTCAATTAAAAAAAAAAAAATGATTTAGCCGTTGTGAGTTTTCCCTTACTCGTCCTACTGTGCGCCGGGGCTAGAGCCTTATCTGCATCCCTCTCGTCGTGCTTGAAACAATGAAATTTTTAATTTAGTTTAACTTTGTCTTTCTTATTGTGAACTTGGCTCCTAAAAACGTAAATCATCAAGAGTGAAATAAAAGTTTGGCTTCATAAAAAATATCAAGTTACGACTGGTAAGCTATTAAAAAAAAACAAAAAAAAAAGAACGTGATTTGATTATTAAAACTTTTGAAAGTTTTAATGGAAGTCAAAAACGGTTTCATGAATCCTTAACCTGAACCTGTACCACTACAATCCATGAAGGATCTTGGGTTCAGTACTATGTAGGGAAAGTACTGTTACAAGGCCGACGGTTGTGCAGGGAGGAGATCGGACCAGGATCACGCTCAACAGCCAGGTTTTTCCCCTTAATCAATTATTTGGTTAAGGGCACCCACTTTGTAAAGGCTGAGTGTGCCCCAGAAGGGTCTGCCTACCCCCAGGGCCGCCCCACGGCCAATGAAACAGAATATATATTTTTTCTGCCATGAATCGGGACTCGAACCTGAGACCATGAGCATTGGAAGCTTAGTACCCTACCTCTGAGCTACCGCGTTCCCTAATAAATCCTTAAAGTATTATATAAATGTAATAACTAATAAAATTGTTTTTGATCCCCGCCCATCAAAAGTAATTACCATTGTTTTTAGTGTAACAAGATGAAAAAATGTTTTATATCAAATTAAAGAACGTTAGATTGTAGGCCGAACGAGTACTTAAACTTAATAATTTGATCAAGTGGTATGGTCGATAACCCATGGTCAGCCAACGCTGATTTTTACCAAATTCATCAAAAACTGATACAAATTACTATAAATGGCGCTGCAGCTTGGAAATGAGTACACTAAGAGAAAAAACTCATAGATAAAATTTGTAGAGCATCAAATTCCTCGTTCACAGAGTACTAACAGTTTTAATAGAGATTCGATATTTCTTCATGAAATTCAGATTTTTTACACCTCATTTTTCAAAATCCTTCGCTGCTGAGAGGCGAAAAAGAGACCTATATTGTACATACTAGACTCTTAACAAGAATAATTCAGTAGAATAGAGACCCATACTAGTGAAATATTTAAAATTACAGATATCTTTATTAACAATTTCCAGCCATCGCTATTCACTACCTATTTCAGTGAACGCGGAATTTGATGCTCTACGAATTTTATTCTATGACTTTTTTTTCCCTTAGAAAACTCTTTTGCAAGCTGCAACGCCATTTATAGTCATTTTTATCAGTTTTTGATAAATTTGGTAAAAATCAGCATTGGTTGACCGTGGTTATCGCCCATACCACTTGACCAAATTATTAAATTTATGTACTTATTCGACTCAAAATTTAACTATCTTTAATTTCTAAATGAGTACGTCTTTCGCTTCGATGCACCATTTAGGAGTTAAACGTGAAAAAACAAATAAAGTTCAAAAAAAAAAAAAATTACCTTTTTTATGGCTGTAAAACGTTTTCCCTTGGTGGCCCGCGTTAGCAATTTTGTTTTTTACATGTCTCAACTAATATATACAAGTTTTTAAAAACCTGTAAATCAGCCGCCATTTTTACAGGTAGCAAGATCCGACTGGAGGACTCGTTTTTTTAATATAAATGTTGCAAATATTCAAAAACATCGTTTTAAGTTTTCATCAAATGATGTCGATTTTTTTTCTCACGTGTACTGAGTATTTCGAGATTTTATTTTCTAAAGTAATAGTCAATCATCTTAAGTATTTTTTAATTATTAGCAACGATAACACATACTGTATTAATTAGTTCAAAAACCATAGTAGATGAGTATGAATTAGAAGGAGAGAAAATAGTAGACGGAAAGGCGAAAAAACTAGAGAGGTCACATGCGGTTATTACATCTGTATAATTTAAGGTCACAAACGGAAACACCACAAATAAACAATTAAAATTATTTTCTCTATTTGTTTCTTTACTAAAAACATCGATTCCAATCGATGTTATTTTTTGAATTTTTTTCAATAACATAAATTATTTAAACTTATTTTTTCAATTCTGGTCTTGCGACGTATCCTGGTAGGATGAATTGCCTAGGTTTGTCACAAGCTTATTCAGGAAAACGATTGTCGTGATGAATGCGGACACGATGCACAGTGGGGCCGATTGCGAATCTAGCGGGACAAAAGTCCAAAGATGAAGATTTAAATTATGACATGAAATGTTAATATCATTAGCTAAGATGTTAATTATTAATAAAACACACAAATAATCCAAAGATAATGTCAATAAAACATTTTAATAAACTATTAACTAATACCTTTTCAACTCGGTCTGAGTTTGGGCACAATATACACGTTCAGTCTCTTAGCTGTAGATAATATTAGGACGTTCTAGTTATTGTTTTCACTGTTTCATAATGGAATACAATAAGGAAGGTAATTAATTTTTTTTTAAATCTAATTATAGACTGTTTTAGAATCTCAGAATACAAGTCAAATAATAAGTTAAAAAATTCTGAAAACCGTTCCACCTTTTGTTATGCAATTTTTTTCTACACCAGTGTGCGACCTAATTTTTCGTTCTTTGTGTCTAGCGACATCTTAACTTTGCAAACATAGGAAACTTTTCCGTTTTAGCCCATTTAATTGACGTAATAAGAATTATACTCCAGGTGGAAAACTCTTTATTTCTGAAAACGAGTTAACTGAGGCATTGAAAGAAGGAAACGAAGTTTTTAACGTGTAATCTAAGGAGACAACATTTACATGATTGAACATGCATATTAAAAATTAGGCTATAGGACAATTAATCAATGTTTTGAGATAAAATTAGGCTATCCAAGACGTAGCTTTTTTGATCTTTAGTAAAATTAGATTCTTAGCAATAAGGCACTGAAAAGATGATATAGTGAACCTAAACTGAGATTAGTGATAATATTGAAATATCTAATTACTAACGTTTATTCATGTGCCCCGAAATTGTGAAAAATTAATAATTACGTCATATTATTTATTAGAAACAAAGAAAAATTGTATTATGACCTGAAAAAAAAATCATGCATTCTTTTTCACAAGCCACTACACAAAAAAAAAAACAAATGGTTAAGCGACTGTTTTGAATTTGCTTATAATGCCGGATACGTATTTAATACCAGACAATGAAAAATACATCGATTATACATCTAATTGATATTTTATTATAGAAATGTTATATTTGGATTTTAAATTTTTCATGAAATATAAGAAAACATAAGTTTAAGATAAATTAACATAAGTTCCAATCATTTAATGATTTTTTTTTTTTAAACAATAATGGATAAGTCTAGATGAGAAGAAAATGTTTCATTGTCAATAACATGGCTTCTAGACTTTTGTTCCACTAGATTCGCAATCTGCCATACTATGAGAGGGTGGGCTGCTGGGCTTGTAGCCTAGGACTCCAGAATTCGTAGAGGAGGGCCTGGCTTAAAAAGTTTTATTTTGGAACTTCCAAGTCTACATTAAACTAAGTTATAGATGAAATTATATGATATATTATTATACATAATAATTTTGTAATATCTTTACATAATATTTTTGTTGCAATCATTATGAAGGATAATAAAGTTTTAATATATTTAATATTTGACGGGGATCCAAAAATATTGCCCTGGTGCCTTTGGTTTCTCTCCACGGCCTTGGATGAATGATATTCTTATTTTAATTTTCACATTTACTACAGCATTTCCTTTATAGAATAACTTAATTTACTATCTTACACTAGATTCTAAAAAACAAAAATATTGAATCGTGAATGGTATCATAAGAAGTTCGTTCAGTATGAAAAATCTGTAACACACAATTAACTTTTTCTTTCTCTTACCCACAGATATCAGCAAATATCATTTTTATTCAATGTGATCTTTTTTTAATTTGTTTTGTTCATTTATGAGTTCATGTTTTTTTAGGTGCTTTCATTTTTACAGTTTTCTTTTCTTTTTATGATAAACTACTAATTACATATGATTAGGGAAATGCAATTATGATATCAACATGTGTTTCACTATGAGAAAATAAATATATATATTTTTTAAACCCAAGTTGCTGATGTTGATGTAATGGGTCGATTGCTAATAGAAATAAATAAATAAATTTATTCAATGGTTTTCTTATTATTTAGTGGGATTTATACTTAATTGGAATAATTGGGTATCCAGAAGGTTTGGAAAGGAATTACTTATAGCCTTAGTATTTCTGATTAGTGGTAAATTTATTTTAACTTTCATCTGTAGAAATGTTGATAAAAGGAAAAAACATAAATAAACCATATATCCATAATAGAAAAAACAGCCTATTTATAATAAAATATGTGACTTTGTTATGTGGAAATGCAGAGTTCAGTTGATGGATCAGTGTATATTTTGTTAAACTTAATTCAGGCAACAGAATAATAAATATTGGCTGACCAATTAGCTGACATATTTGGCATAGGATAACCTACAATATTTTTTACAGGAAATGACTAATAATATGATATTAATTTTTTTTTTTTTTTAATAGCTTGCATCAATCTATATAATAATATGATTATTGATTATGAGACAATAGTTGTGATTAAACTAAGTTCCTATAATTTTTATGTAAAATTTACTAATGAACAATAGGCAAATATTAGAGCATGGTAATGATATTGATTCCTGGATATATCACATTGGTTGTTTTTTTATTATAAATAAGCACATGCATTCTCTGGATAATATTTTAAAGAACAGAAATTACATTTGATAAGTTTACAAAATATTTTCATTTTTTTTTTCTGAAATAGTTTCTCAGATTTTTAAAAATGTAGGAATATCTGGATATAGTGAAAACGCTTCACAAGTATAGTGTCTAGGTAGATTTGCTCCACCATATAACTAAGTTCATTGTTTTGTAGGATATTCCCACAACCCGTACAATGGTGTCATCTGTAATGACACGATACTCGCCACTGGAGTCTTCTCCTCTAAGGAACTATGGAGACTGTCAAAAGGTAATTTAATTAGAACAAAGACAGAAGTAGATGAAGTTATTCACATATGTTAATTTGTTTATCAGATCAACAGTTGGTGAACGCTGATATATCTAAACAGCATATAAATTAAATTAATATATTTTTATGATATTAAAGGAACAACTACAATTATACTATTAAGATCAAATTATAAACATTATTTACAATTAATTGTTTATGAAGTCATCAACACAGTGAATATAAAATAATAATACTAATTCAAACAATAGTCATGTTATTTGAAGCATAATATAAAATTGGCCATGCTGAACCTAAGATTTTACTTATGCTTGATATGAGTATATATATTTCTTATACAAAACACTTCAGTTGAATAGCATTACTTTTAAGCATTAACTAAACTAATTGTACAAAAGTCTAAATAATTCTTTGTTTTTATTTTAGGTAAATTATAATAATAAAAGTATTTCTTGATGAAACCATGTTTAAAATGCTACCACTAAAGCAGTAAAAAGCAATATTATCAATTTTTGTTTCAAAAATAAATTTCAAACAATTATTCTCTCTAGAAGAAGATAGGGCATTCTATGAATGTATGTTTTTCCTATTCTTATCTTCATCTTCAAAGAATACAATTGGGACTTTATTTAGCCATAGCATGGAATTTTTAATGAATTGCCTAATCATTTAACGGACCATGAAACACGACTTCTCAGAATTTCGTTTCCAACTTATAACTAATAGCATCTTAATCCATACCAACTTCAGTCATATCACATCTAGTATTGAACTTATTTTCCTGGAGCTATACTGGTATTTCAGCATAGCTACTTTTTTCTTCGCACAAATTTGGGATCCTGTACTGATCATTCACTCTATTTGTTTATCGGTTGAATTAAACAAAGAGTGATAGAACACTAGACATTCATGATATTCAATAACCCGTGGTAAAAATACTTACAATACATTAATAATAATAAAAATTTAAAAAAATTGGGGAAATCTATAAGGACTTAATCTAGGAAGAATTTTTGTACAACTGCAACTGCTGCTTTAAGAACAGCAATAGAAATACTATCTATGTGATCCAGAAGGAAATATCCTTGTTCTAATATTTCTTTCATAACATTTTTGTTCTTTGATATAACCTATTGTTTAACTGATTAAAATCTGATGTATCCCAACAGTTAATCAGATTGAGCTGACGCTCTTGAACTTTCTTCTTTACAACATGCCAATTTTAATGTTTTGACAGAGCTTTAACAACTTTCAAATAATTGAGTATAATTTTGATTCACCCAGTACACATTGATCAGTATAACAATAATTGTTTGTTGAAAGCTGCATTATAATGTCAAATTTTACTTTAGTTTGCAAAATAACCAAAGCTATAGCGTTTAAAGCAGCTTTGCAAACACCTGTATGTGTCTGTATAATTTACCTTTGTACAAATATTATTAATACAAATACTATTACTGCTGTGAAAATTTTATATTTCAAACTTTCTAATACGTTTAAATATTCTGATCCAAACCTAAGGACGTATCTAATATTATTACTTTTCAAAACATTAAATTAATCAAATACTTTCAATCTTTTCTAGGAAACACTATTAAGCTATATGCCATTATACCTATAATTTAATATTGCATTTGTCAGTCATGATATCAATTGATAAAATAGTTTAAAAAATATAATAAATATATATGTATATATATATATATATATATTATATATATATTTATCATTTTTATTTTCTATTTCATCAATGAAATATAATATATAATATATATATATATATATATATATATATATATTATATATATATATAAATGTAAATATATATACTTCTAATATATGGCAGTGAGACCTGGACACTAACCAGCACCCTAGAAAAAAGTGTTGAAAGATTTGGGAGGGAAATCCTCCGCACGATTACTGGAGCGATCTTAGATCAGAATACTAACACATGGAGAAGAAAGACCAACAAAGAACTGCTTACTGAAATTGATCAGTCAATATCCCATGTTATGAAGGCACAGAGGTTAAGATGTGCTTGTAGCTAGTTAGGGGGGCATGCAGCTAGTAGCAATCCATCTGGAAGCCTCTACTTAACAATGAATGCCTCAATAGAAGGCAAAAGAACATATGGAAGGACAAAAAGCAGATGGTTAGATAGAATTAACAAAGATGCAACAGAGCTGATGAGAGAGAGAGAGAGAGAGAGAGAGAGAGAGAGAGAGAGAGAGAGAGAGAGAGAGAGAGAGAGAGAGAGCAGCAGATAAATGGAAAGAAATAGCCCAAGACAGGCAGAGATGGAGCAGGTTTGTTAAGGCGGCAAAATACATGGTCTATAATGCCGAAAGAAAAAAAAAATGCATATATATATTATATAATATATATATATATATATATATATATATATATATATATATATAAACATCCTTATATAATATTTCGCCTCTTTAGGAGACAGATTGAGGTCTTAAATTCTTTTGCTGTCTTATCTTTAATTTGAAGGACTCCTTGTCTTAGATTGATTTCTTAATGGACTGTTATAAAGAGACATTTGGATCGAGAGTATTATATATATATATATATATATATATATATATATATATATATATATATAATTTTATTATTGCATATAGGAGTAATTTTTTTTCAAGTTAATTGCTATATTTATAAAAAAAATTCGAACATTTTATTTGGAACTAAGTACTAAAAAAATAACGAGTTAGGCATCATTTGTAATTGCTTTATACTTAACAATATTGATATTTGTTTGTGCATCATTCATGAGTTTTCCCATTATTTTTATACAATAAAGAAAAACCAAACAGCCAAAAAATATTTTCAAAATTAATGGGATAACTAGATAAGATTCTATATAAATTTATCACAATAAATTTAATATATTAACATCATTATTCGCATAATAATATTATTATATAGTATTGTAGAATAAAATTATAATCAAATAAATTGTGTTTTTGTTGTTTCAATAAATATAAATATTACTATTAAATAATAAATAATGAACCAATGTTTATGGACCCATAAACAAAATTTTAAATACAGACACATTATCTCATTACCTATTCCTAGATTGATATTTTAATCTATATATCCATGGTTAAGAATTGATACCTCATATCTGCAGAAGAAATCCTTCACAATAGGAACTACTTTAAACTGAATTAAATATCTTTTAAGTTTTTGTGTGTTTTTCATAACTCAATGGAGGCACATCAAAATACAATAATGTTTTCAGTTCTTTTACTGCTTTCTGTTGGTAATGATCTGAGTAATCACCAGAAAAGTTTATTAATCCTTGGATAATAGATGTCATGATTAATATTTTGCATGATTATATTATTCATACACATGCCAAAAAATACAAGATCTCACCATTCAATGGTGTAAAGATATTAATGATGTCAAAAAGTGACCTTTTTTTTTTATTGTTATGACACATTACTTATAGCCATAGGTGTTAACTTATATACTTATGATATACAAAATATTGAATAACTACTTTTGGTTTTTTATACTTTCAAAATCTTCTAAAACATGTTTGTTTATACTATACAAACACACAAGGACACACAAACTCAGAAACACACACATATTTAAATAAAGAATATTTTGATAAACTTTCATGCTATGTTATTAACTAAAAATGACTGACTAGAAAAAATTTATCCAGAGAAACTGCATTCATTTTAGTTAGGAAAGCTATTTATAAAAAATTAGAATCATAAATTCATTTTATACCATTAGTTCATTATATAAATCATATCTTAAAATATGTTGAAATAAATAATTCTAAAACAAAGAAACGAAATGCTTCAAATGTTCTAAAATAAAAATATATTGTAGTACATAAATAACTTGTGTGCATAAATTTCATTAAAAGTTTTTATGACATTTTGCTGTTGGCTTTTAAATACTTTATAAAACAGTAATACATTTTGTCCCAGATTTTTTTATCATCATCAAAGCTATACTTGCTATTTTTAAGATAATAAGTCCACATTTCAAAATAATAATTATATTTAAATCAAATATTAGTAATAATTGGGGAGAGGGGTAGCTTAGGGAATAAGGAATTATACTCTTATTCTCTGAGGTTCAGTAGTGAATCAATCCTCTTGGGGCACACACAGCCTTTGTGAAGTGGGTACTCTTAATTAATCAATTAATTAAGATTGAAAAACTATGGCAATTAAAAGTCATTCCAGCCAAATCACCTTCTTGCCAAAATATTGACCTAGAAACAGTACTTCCTTTATAATAGAAATAAATACATTTAATTATTATTATTTAGGTATTTATATATATATATATATATATATATATATATATATATATATATATATAAAATGATATATATATATATATATATATATATATATATCATTTTAATATGTGAATAGTTATTTTACATTAATTTAAAGTTATTTCATTCATATTTAAATTTTCATTCAGTACTTATTTTAAAGCTTGATCCCTTTGTTAATTTATTTTAACTTTTTCAAATTAAATTTAAGCCTTAAAAGAAATTGTAATCAAAATTTAAAATGTTATTTAATTCATAAACATTTGTTAAAAAGGGCAAAATAAAATTTGATAATAGGATAAAATAAAATAAAATTTAATTGTGATATTAGTAGCTATGATTAAAAAAATAAAATAAAGGAGCAGCTGAAGTTTTAGAAGTGTCACATACTATTAATATTAATTAGTGATAGCATTTACCCTAATTACAGTCTCAACTACTGCACAGGTTTAAGTTTACTAGAAACAATTCTTATCCCTAGCATTCTTTTTGAAAAATAATCGAATATCTTGAAAATTAGTGAATAATTGGTACATTTTTCTCTGCTGCTTCACTAATGCCAAAATATTCTTGGATTTTTTACATTAAAAAAAATATATTAGTACGATTGCACCACAATTTAGTGATCAGTCTTAGTCTCTCCCAACATCTTCAACCACTTGGCACAGTCCTGTTGTCTATTCAACAAGACTGTCAATAAACTTATTATAAAAAAATAAATTATTCTTCATTTCCTAAAAAAAAACTATGTTGTATAAAATAATATCTTTTAACACCTTATAGTAACAACTAGTTTTAAACATAAAGCTCTCAGTTTTACTCTGACTGAATAGGAGCTATTAAATGACCCAAACTCTAAGGATTCGTACTTGTGACAAATATATTATGTTGTATTGTTCAATTAGTTATGTGAAAATTATTGTGAAACCCATATTGCTACTATAGTAGAAATGCCACCAGTACTAAAAATATTCAAGAAATAATGTTCCTATTCAATATATTTACAGATAACTTGATTGTTTGAAAGGAAAAATGATATCATGAAACACAAATATAAAACACATTTCAACACTATGTGTGAATATATTCAAATGTAAAATATAACTACTTAGATTTCAAAAGAAGTGTTGTAATGTTTTTTTTAGTTAGACTTTTTTCTAGCCAATATTTTTATGAAATTGTATTTCAGCTGTAATGTTTTTAAAAAAACGTATTGCCTATAAATCATTATAATTTGAAATGTAAAAAACAAATATTAATAATATCTCATGGACATTGGTGTTGCTAAGTGGTTAGAGTACAGAAGTAATAATGTAATGAATATAGGATCCTATACTGACCCAAAAAGTCATTAATGTAATTATTAGAAATAAAGTCATTGCTTAGAAACATGTTAATTCAAACTATATTTTCTTATAGATGTATTTATACATATTAGCATGAATGTGTACAAAAAAGGAAAATAACTTTTTGTATATATTTGAAACTATGAATAGTTTGATATCATTATTTTTATATTAATGGCATAATAGTTGGTAAATGTAGGACTGGTTCGAAGAGCAAATGACAAAAGTAACCATTTTTGCATGATGCATGTGTTAAAAATCAGACAGAACTTTATGTTTTATAACCTACTTTCTAACTTATCTTTTTTTTCTTTATTTAAACTTAAAATATTTAAGTGTTTATTAAGAAATTATATAAGTTGATATTATTTGACACTTATCCTTTCTATTATCTCACGTACCTCTGAGATTGTTCCCAAAAAATTATTCACATTTCCAACTTATTTACATGGGTCTTATATTACATATAATTATTAACTATAATTTTTTGTTATTGTAACAGTAAATGCTTTAATACTTTGATAACCCGACTTCATAAAAATATATGTTTTATATTAAAATTAATTTTGTCAATATTAAAAAAGTTTATTTTTTATTTGTTGAATTCCATCTATTTATTAAGTACCTTTCAAGCTCTTCACCACAGATTGTTCTGTCATATTTAATATAAACTCTTAATTTCAATTTTTTTAATAGTAGCAATGTTTTTTTAACTGTTAGTATTTATACAATTATAGTAATAGTATAATGATCACTGAAATTGTTTTTGTTTCAGCATCTATAGTTCAAAGTTGTAATGGGATGCAGCCACCAATAAATGTCATTAAGATTGAAAATCCAAGTTACTATTGTAATAGTTATACTCCACCTGCTCCGGACCATACCAGTATGTTGTCTTCAGCGCAGTATAGTAAGTGTTTTAAATATATTTATTTATTAAAAAATAACTGTTATCAAGTGCCAAAAAAATTTAGTTTTATGTGTGAAAAGTAATTGTCTCTTGAATGCAACTACTGACAATGGATGTGTATGTAGAATTAAGAGTATTGGTTTGACCTAAGTCTTTATAATGAAATTAAAAACATATAATTTGTGTCTGTGTAATGATTTATTTAATTCACTATATTCACATTTTTTTAAAACTTTGTTATAGCTGTTTTAAAACATGTTTCTAGTAAATATTCTTCCTTATCTTCTTTATTTAAAAGAAATTATTTGTTTTCCAATAGGTCCATTGCCAATACCTCGAAATACGCAAAGTCCTAATGAGCCACGTACCAAGAGGGTAAGAAGGCTTAGTTCTGCAGAAGAAGAAATGGATTTAGGGAATAGTGGTGGAGGTTCCAGGGAAAAACAGGGAGGAGGTGGGCCAACAGAAGTCGGGTATTACGGCCAAAGCCCAGCTTCTCTCTCATCTCAAACCAGTTGGCACTCTGATGTTGAACATGGTAAGTCATTTAAATATCTTTTGACAATTTGAAGATATTAATAGAATATATATTCACATGTAAAAATCTAAGTAATGTCGAAGTCTATTGTACATATATATATATATATTTATATATATATGTATTTTCTTATTTTTTTTTTGCACTATTAGAATTCCTATAGTATTTATAATATGTAACTAAGAAATAAAAAAATAAAAAAAGGATTCATAAGTATCAAAATGTTACATCTTTAGCATATTTAGTTCAGTATGGATCATATTAAACCCGTTCAGCAATAGGTAAAATGTATTCTAGCAACTTTATTGAAAATTAATCATAAATTATATAAGTATTTTTAACAACTGCATCACATATAAATTGTCTGAAAATTTTGTATTATTTAATGAATATAAATTAATTACTTACTAATACTCTAATTTTAATATTAATATACTATTACAAGTTTTAGCATTGAAGAAAAGTAATTGTATACCTAATAGTAATAAAGATTGTTTACTAACCCCTATATCAAGGATAGGCTTATCCTATTTTGCTTTATTTTTTTATGTCAGTTTCTTTCAATTGAGTAGTGTTAACAAATAACTGTCAAATGTATAATATTTTTATATTAAATAAACAAATAATGTTTTAAAAATTTGTTAAAACATTTATAAAATAGTTTAAATAATTATTATTAAATTGGCTAATACAAGGAGTGAGAAAGGTCCTCTAATTAAATATTGTGACATAAAATAGTATAAGTTGCTTGTATAATAAAATCATTTTTTTCAAATCAAAGTCATAATAAAGACCTAATATTTATAAGTACGTTTTTTCCATTGAGTTGGTAAATCATTTATTTTATTTTGGAACCCATACAAACCATGATGCCACATAGAAACAAAAAAAATAATAATAACTTTTTTTCAATTTATAGATAATAATTCACAACTTCACACAATCCAATGTATAAATATTCATTAAAGAAATTTTTAATAAGAATAAGCACTTTATTTAATTCAGTAATAACCAATATAGATGGAATTTCATTATTGTTAATGAAAATTTGTTAAACTGCTTCAACACTACTCAACAAGGAACTGATATTCATTTTTCTTTTTAAAATAAAAGTTAAAGAGGGGTGGTAAATTTCATAGATCTTGTTAGTACCAAGTGCTTAAATTTGGTTTAAAAGTAAATTTTAATATGTTTAATTTAGATATTATAGACCCTTACTCATGAAACTTTTACTCTCTATGCCAATATCCAAGAACTAATTGATACATGTATATAAATTGTAGAAACACTTTTATCTTCATAGACAGATAGTTTGTTAGTATATTCAGATACTTACACCCTATCTATCTACTTATATATTATGCACTAGTTTTATGTAGACATTTAGTAATATTCTATTTAGGTTAGATAGTAAATAACTTGTAGACATGAAATAAAACTTTTTTTACTTAACAGAAATATACTCCTTTGTGATTTACATAAGTTTTAACAACCTAGGAATTAGCATCTATACTATAAACATTTCATCTTATTTTTTAATTACTTTAATTGTTTTTAGTTTTAGTTGACACTTTTAAATAAAATGAGAACTTAATTTTTATTTTACTATTTATATATACATCAAATAGCTTATTAACACTCAATTTATTTTGTTTTATCAAGTATGTCATGACTATTTAGGCATAGAGGAGTGGTTGTAGAATTAGGTTAGGTACTGTAGGAAATAACAGGAAATGGTTTTGTTTCAGTACCTCCTTAAATTGCATGATGTCACAGCAGACTAACAGGTACTACTTGTGTTGGATGTTCTTGGTGTTAATCCTCTTTGCCCTTTCCTGTCTTTAATATCTTATCTTTATTTATTTTTTAAAATTAATTGAAGTTAGCAAAGCATATTAGTGCAGCTTTATGTCCTTTTTATTTATTTTTTATTTGATGTATATGTTTATTTTTTATTATTCTTTTTTTGTAGTGATGCAAATTCATCAATTCAATTTTTTTCTGTAAAAAACAAAGGCAGACAAAGATAAAACTTAATAGCTGTGAAAAGATTAATGATCTTCAAACATTACTTTTATGTATATCTTTTGATTTGAACAATTTTTAAGATCATTATTTTGTTTCATTTTAATTAGATGTATATCCTTAGCCCTAATATTCAAGAACAGCAGTTTGCCATTTTTGGCCAAAATTAGGAATAACAATAATAAATCATTAGATTTTATTGTCCCAGGTTTCGTACCCATGTAATTGTCATTTAAAAAAAACATACATATATATTTATTATTAATGAAATTATTTTTCATCTTGAATCTACTTCAATTACCAAAAATATCCACATCTGTAACTGAATATGCAATTAGACATCAAAAAGTATGTTTTATAATAATTAATTAATTTTATAAAAAATAAAATAATTAATTAGTTTTAAATTAATAAAAATAAATTTATAAAAATAATTTATAAAATCATTACTAATAATTTAAGAATATAAATAAAATTAATATGAATGGCTTCTTCTTACTTTTATTTCAGAGATTTAAAAGTTGAATTCTTTTGTATTTCTTTCAATTATCTATAATTAAAAAAAAAGACAATGACTTCATAAGTCACTTTCCTTGATATAAGAAAAGGTCACAGGTCTGAATATGAAATTAATATACATTAATAAAGTAATCTATTAAATAACTTTGAACGAATTGTTGTAATTTTATTCACCATTATTTATGGACCTCAGAACAGTCTTTAAAATAAGAAAAGTAGAAACAACTTTTTATTTCATTATTTTTATCATTAATCCAGGAAATTTTGAAAAATCTATTTCAAAATAAATTATTGTTTCCCAATAATGATCAATAAATGTGACTTGGTATTTTTTATGTAACAGATTCCGAAGTATGTTAAAAGATTTCAAATAAAGGCATTTAATAGTTTATTAAGATTAAAAAAGTCTTTTAATTTTCTCATAATAGATTTGTATTTAAAATAACAAGTCTTAATTTGAGTAAAAATAGGAGTGTATAAAAAATAAAGATATTTTTATAATATCATAACGCTTATTATTTTTATAAGTTTTCAATAAAAATACAAGAATAAAAAGGAAGATATAAGTTTTTAAAAGTAATTTTTATGGTAAATATTTCCTAATTTGCATTTTCTGTATATTATTAAAATAACGAATTTGTATTATTGAAGGAATATTCACAAATAATTTATACAATGATGATTATATAAATAATAATTTATACTAATAATTTATACATGATGATACAAATGATCTATAACATGAAAAATAAGAAATTAAAAAAATCAGAATTTTTTAATTAGATAATTCTAATTTTATATTTTAATTTTCATGTGATGTTATTCTAGACCACTTTTTTCCCCTAGGAGTCTGCCTTATTCTCTATTTAAAATTTAATTGCTCCTCTCTCCCAATTTCCTTTTTAAACCTGTCCATTATGTTGTTGTTGTTTTTTTCAGTTTTTAATTTCATTTTGCCTCTGTCACTATGCCTGCTATTGATGTGAAGTTCTTCTTAGTCCATTGATGTTTAGATTGATGGTAGCATTATCAACATTAAGAACTTTGAATCAATTGAGTTAAAGTTTCTTATGCCACTGATATTTTTCACATTGATTCATTGTTCTTGGTATAATAGCATAAACTTTCACTTCTTTGTTGTTGCTCATCATTATCGTTTATAAGATATAACAGTGTTTATAAGATATAAACACTAGCCCATTTGGACTTGAAAGGTTTATAAAAACAGATGTGTAATTTAATAGTATTATAATGTAATTTATTTTTTTTAAATGGTTGAGTAGTTCTAAAACATTTAAAATTTGCATCTCAAATCATAAAATTGATGGTTGATTAAAAGCCAAAATGTTTTCTTATCGTTATTAGGAAGTTCTGAAAGATTGTTGCACTAATAGTATATTTAAAAATATTAAACAGAATTCATTTGCCAAAATTATTTTTATACTGTAAATATTTTTTTTTTAAGTGAAAATACTATCTTGTAGTGATCTCAGTTAGGCACATTAGTGACAAAATAGCAAGGTTACATTATTATGCATTACTAACAGTAAGTCTAATTCTCTAGGCGGAATTTTTCCAATTTCCCTTAGGCATAACTGGTTAAAAAAAAAATTATCTAAGTCTTCAGCATATAGATATCGAAAAAAAATATGAATTTCTTGTTGCAGTAAAAATAGTCTGGATAAGATCACCCAATCTCACTTTGTTACAAACCATCAATCTTTATACAAAAGGAGAGTTAGATTTGAATTTTTACTTACTAGCCAATAACTAATTTCCTTTTTTTTTTTTTTGTAATCACATTCATTTTCTACTAATGAAGTATGGCCATAAATGACGTTTTGTACTTTTTTAGTCAAATTGTTCTTAAATTCAATTTTTTGTAGGAATGAATTAAATGTGCAAGTTTTAGTTATAATTTGATTTATGTGGAATTCAATAAGTATATTAGTTGTTGAAATATAGGTATGGAATGCATAGTTGTTCCTCTAAACGCACTTGAATGTTCCATATAAAAGGAATACTTTTATGAAACACAATGAAAAAAGATCTTAAATCCTTTCAATTCAATTAGATTTCAGAGATGCTTCTATTAAACAACAATGTTATTATAAATTGAAATAGAATCCTTACCTCCTTTACTTACTCAATACTTTAACACATTATCCTGGCAATATCTAAGAGCAGAGGAAAATCAAATTGACTTTAGAAGTCCTTTTTTATTGAGTTTAGTAAGTTTTCTTTTTTAACAGAGTGTTAAAGTAGCGTCAGGGTAACAACTACGCATACCACCCATAGTCTTGTAAACTTAAATAGTCTTTAAGTTTGATAATATGTTGTCCTTTGTTTTGTTTTTTTGTCTCTGGAGAGAGGGACAAAGTAACTACATTTTACTTCTACAAAGCCATTATCCTTCACTGAATATGTATATATATATATATATATATACACATACA